CTGAACCCCCCTCTCCACAATCTCTCCGGCCAGCCCTGCTCCCCCTAACCCCTCCCGGCCAGCCCTGCTTCCTGCCAGCCAGTTCCCCGCATGCCCCCCACTCTCCTCCTGGCCGGTCCCTCACCCATCTGAGATCAAGTGTGTCCTGTATTTTTTTAAGCCATCTGGTAACCCTATCTCTCTTTGTGTTCAAGTGTGTGTCTGGTCCCTCCCCACCCTAACCAGATCTCTTCTGCTCCTTTTGATGCATGCTCACACATACCATGTGCTTGCCTTACTGCAGTTGTGCCTCCTCCCCTAGCCTTTGTGACAGTCTCATCCATATCGGGACACATTAATAAATCCTCAGTGCCTTTAGGATACATAGAAATCTCTTTTAATAACTACCCTCTTTCCTCTTCTACTATCTAAAAAAAAAAAAACAGTCCCAGGCACCAACCCTTGCTATGGCCAAACACAAAATTGGATTTTCCGTGCCAAGCCATTTTGAGTTACAAAAAGCCAAAAAAGGCTAGGAAAGTGTTCAAGAAATGAAATCATCTTCCTTTTTTAAAAATCGTCATCCTTCCAAAACACACAGCTTTATTTGCCTCAGACTTTCCAGAATAGCTCTAAGCCAGCATAATATCCTACATGTGAAACTTCAGGCAGGCTGGCTGAGTCCCTGCAATGCGCGCGCGTGCGTGCGTGCGTGCGTGTGTGTGTGTGTGTCTGTGTGTGTGTGAGAGAGAGAGAGCTTGCAATAGAAAGCTGACTTCATACTATCAAGATACTTGAGTACATAACTCCCCAAAAGCAGTTTATGCTGCTTGCCTACAAGGCTGATTGAAGCCTACCTATTGACATTTAAATAACAGTGCTGTTTTGAGACCACCGTGCTCATATCAGTAAACTTCCTACTTCCCACACATGACTCCTCACAGGTCTAGGTCCCTTCCCCTCCCCTTCTCTGGGGATCATCCAGGCTGTGGAAGTTCCAATTGCTGTTCACAGATGGTGAGAACAAACACCAGGTTTCTGGCAACATTTTAGCTCTAATATATCTCTCAGTCTCCTGGCCTGGTGCTCCGCTACAGGGCTGAGGCGTATCCTTTTCCTGAATAGTATCCTGACTATAAGACCTTGTCTCCACATTGGGGGCATGTTGACACAACCTGAAAGAAAGAAAATAGGTACATTTTAGGTTGGGATTTTAGCGTCTCATAGTGCCCAATGGTAGTTGATGCTGCAGAATGTGGCAGAATAAAAGGAGGCAGACAAAATTTACTGGTAAACTGATATTTTTATTCATATATCTATCTTGAGAAACCATTGGGAAAAATAGATTTATGTCTCTTCACGTCACTCTCAAACTATCCAGTTGTCATATCTGACTCTTGAGTGGGAAAGCGTTGTAGATTACTCTCTTAGGTAATTACAGAAAGCCAAAGTCAGCTTTATACAGCCATTTCTGAGGAAGAGCTATCCAGTGAAAACAGGACTCTCTCTTACAGCTAGGAAGACAGTCTGGAGTGCTCTCTTGGGTTGTATTAACTAGTACATTTTTTGCAACTCATTCCCCCACCTGTGCTCTTCAAGTATCTGGTTTAGAAATAACACAGACTTTCTTATTATAACAAATTGTACATTACAGACTGATACGTAGCTGTATGATCAGGATTTAAGAGTGAGGCAATACCTCATAATATTCTGCTTTGATTTTCATGGAGCTATTTCAACATTGGAGCTCTACAGCTTGAGCTAAAGGGCTAGCTGTAGCAGACTCCTCTGTCGTCTGTTGATCAGGCATAGAGGGGAATGTGTAACACACACTGAGCCCAAGGTTATAAATGCACTCCAAAGGGCAGGCCAGTTATAAATAATCCAGGATGAATTCTTCTAGGGTTCATAATTTTGAATTAAGATACCTTCTGAGTTAAAGATTGCAACACCATGGCCTAGGCTCTGACAATTTGCTTCCAGTGTCTACTGAAATAAAAGTAAACTGTGCGATAGGCGAACAAACCTTGATGGAATCTTGGTTGTACAATCCCAACTGTACTCCAGATGTAGTTAGTGTATTGTGAAGGGATAATATTTGTAACATTTATAAAAAAATCTTTGTACCAAACTGATCATGTCAGGGATTAGTGCCAGGCAACGGCAGATTTTAATTGCTGATCAAACACAGTTTAAGTTGTTAACTTTTTCCTGAATGCTACTTATGTTTTAACACTCTTTTCCAGGAAATGCAGGCTCCTCTGCTTTACTTCAGGGATCTGGCAATGGAGTTCCATCTACCCACCCTCACCTGTTACCTGGGTCCCCTTGCTCTTCTCCTGCCTTCCACCTGGGTCCTAACACTAGCCAGCTCTGTAGCCTTGCTCCAGCTGATTATACAGCTTGTGCCCGTTCAGGCTTAACCCTTAATAGATACAGCACTTCTCTGGCTGAAACCTACAACAGGCTCACCAACCAAACCAGTGAGACCTTTGCACCCCCAAGGACACCCTCTTACGTGGGTGTGTCAAGTAGCACAACTGTGAACATGTCCATGACAGGCAATGATGGTGATGCATTCAGCTGCCCACAGACGGGTTTATCTATGCAGATTTCAGGGATGTCTCCACAGCTTCAGTACATCATGCCATCCCCATCAAGCAATGCCTTCACCACTAATCAAACCCACCAAGGCTCATACAATACTTTTAGACTACACAGTCCCTGTGCTTTGTATGGATATAACTTCTCCACATCCCCCAAACTGGCTGCCAGCCCTGAGAAAATTGTTTCTTCCCAAGGAAGTTTCTTGGGGTCCTCACCAAGTGGAACTATGACTGATCGGCAGATGTTGCCCCCCGTGGAAGGAGTTCACTTACTTAGCAGTGGGGGGCAGCAGAATTTCTTTGACTCTAGGACCCTAGGAAGCTTAACACTGTCATCATCTCAAGTGTCTGCACATATGGTTTGATGAAGCCTCTTAAGGAAAACTACAGTATGTTTGGTGTCTACAATGTATTTCTCTTGGAATGTTAAAGGACACAACCTAGCTTGTAAAGTGTATATATAATATGAGAGGAAATTTCACTGAATCTTTTGTCTTGCTTGTGGCCCTATTGTTTTCTATTTTCAGTTCTGCTGAGTTTGTTGTGGCATAGGCCATTTAGTATTCTGGTATAGTACACTTAGTTGTGTAACACACTGGAACATATGCAACAAATTAAGCAGGACTTCCTCCCCTCCCCTTCCACCCTCCACCTTTCAGGCCCCTTTAAAGAATGAAATGACACTTGGGTCTGAATTAAACAAGACAAACAAAACACATTTCCTACAGAACTAGTACATTTCCCTGCAGTGTTCATGTGGTGCTGAGCTGATGCAGCAAACACAATACAATGTTCTTCTCCATTATAAGAGATACAATAGTTATTTGGGTGTCAGGTGTTAAGAATGCAGACTCCAGTCTAAAGTAGATCAACTATGGATTATCTACCACGTAAATGGAAATAATAGCTTTCCTTCTCATGCTATGCTGTTTCTAGCCTGTTGGCAACATGACATTCATATTAGGATATTTCAGTGTTAGTCTAGATTCACCTGTTATTGTCACATCATTTAAAAAACACAAAGTGCCAACTCAAATTGTGGTGATAAGAGTAATTTAAAAGAAGCAACGGGAAGATCAGTTTGTCTTAGTCCTCTGTGCATAGAGAATGTGGTGAGAGATTAATTTTTGCCAAAGGGAGAGACTTGATACATTTTTCCATAAATTTCCATTTAAAATGTTTTTTCTGGAGAATAGAATATCTTAACAAATATTTATGTGCTCGTTTAAAAAGAAAATGCAGGTTTAAATATTTTAAAATATTGTGCATTGAGTTATGGTAAGAGGCTGAGAAATTCCATTATCAATTTTATCTCTCTTCTGGACAAATTTTCTTCCCGTCCTAGAATCCTAACAAAGGAGTTATCCGTGCTGACACTTAGGCCCAATTTAGACAGGTGACCAAAATTCTGCTCTCAGTTGCATGGGTGCCACTAGGAGTAGAGTGCAGTGGAAGAAGTTGCCTATGTAACCACAAGCAACTGGATGGTCATAGACAACCTCCATAGTACCATGCTAAAGGTTTTTAGCACGGCACTTCAGCCTATTATTTCCATCCCAGTGGGAGTCTTCTTTCTTGTTCTTTTCTGTCACTACTGCTTTGTTTCTCACTCTGCTCCATGCAGTTTGAACAGTTCATTTTCCTTAGTTGCTTTTAGCTTGTCTAAGTTTCAGAGTTCTAAATCAATTCGTAACAAGGTTCACATGGTTCACAGTGAAGTGTGGTGCATTTATCTCACGAAAGGAAGATTACTGGCAAACTTTTGCCCTTAGTTACACCCGTGCAGCCCAGTCACAATCAATATGGGTGCTCAGCTGCATGTTTGGAGACCCATTCTTACCTATACACCTTTCGGATTTTAGATCTTATGAGCTATAGAAAATATCTGAATCTTTGATGATTGGCATTCTCATTCTTATGCCAGTAAGACTCCTGTGCGACTACTCTGGTTGTATAAAATCACCTTAAAGCATGTGCTAATGTAATTTAAAGACCATTTATGGCCAGAGCAGTGTATCAAGACATAGTGTCAATGAAAACAAAGCCCTTAGTAGTATGGCTTTAGATTTAAGTAAAAGTCCTGAGTTCAAATCCCTCCCTAGCAACAGACAATCTAAGTAACCATGGGCAGGTCACTTAGGGCCAGATTTTAAAGATGTGTAGTGGGATTTTCAAAAGCGTCTTGTACCTAACAGGTGCTTTAGAAAATCCACTAGGTACCTAAATAAATATTAAAATCCAGCCCTTAGGTGCTCTATGCTTCAGTTTCCCATCTGTAAAATGGGATAATAGCACTTCCCTATCTCACTGGGGCATTGTGAGGAGAAACACATTAAAGACTTAAGGCACTCTGATACTATGTTAATGGGGGGCTATATACATCCCTTATATAGCTTTTGGAGGTTGGTGTAAGCCCATCTGTAGATTTGGAATTCAACTTTTCCATGTCCTTTCAGATAGATCCCCTAATGAAATACCAGCTGTATAATGTGTGTTGTTGTTTTTTTTTCTTCTCCCACCTCATCCTGGCTATCCTTTTTCTTTAAGGTTCATACTAAAATACAGAAATGCCCCTTTGTAAAATGCCTTGAAAATACAGTCATCAAGGGATAGATCTTCAATAAATGCTAATTCAACAGATCTTGACAAATTAATTTGCAAGATATTTGTGGCCAACAATCCCTGGCCTAAGAAAAGTACAGTATGTTTGATGTAATCCTGCCATTATGCAAAGCTTTAATGTTATGATCTACATGCTTTATGTTTGAAAGGGATAAGCAAGAGAATTCTGCATACAGTGTGTGCCATCTTAAAGGGGCTGTGGGGAAGGTGTGTGGAATCCTGCAGGACGTTAGTGGGAAAACTCCTGTAATAAGGATTACAGGATTATGTGTGTATGAGTGGAGGTAATATTTTCATTGCATTGTAATGTGTGCATGAACGCATGCATGCACATATGTGGAGATATTTGTTTTGTAATTTGGGAATTTTTCAGTACCATTTAAAATGGTTGCTTTTTCTTCAAGTTATTTTTATTTTATAATCTCACAATATTGCTTGAAACATTTCTTCCTTAAACTTCTATTCATATTGTAAATAGTTATTGGTGTGTCATAGCAAAGACTAGCTTTTTATCAATACAGTAAATGCTATATATGCATTATATCTATAATTATATATCTGTATTTTATGAAAATGTCACAGAAATTATATTAAAGTGTGTATCTAAATACTTTTTTGTAAACATAAGGTTTTCGGGGACATTTTGTCTGCAACTTCAATAAAACCAAAGGAACTTACCATTGGGTGAGCCCTAACGTGCACAGACTTAGACAACAAGTCTGGGAGCATTCAAATAGCAGACCTTTCTTGAGTGTTTAAATTTAACTAGCTGCTGTAGGGCCCTTGTCATGTGAAGGTGAAGGGCATGACAAATGTTGAGCACATGAAGATTTTAATAGTGATAGCAGAACAGAGAGGTTTTTATTTTGGAACACAAGCATGAGTGGCTTGCCAGGCTGACTAGTTAGTGACAGACTCCTGTTAACGCAGCATACCTGAATGTATTCCAAAAGATGTGGTGATGGGATGATCTCAGTCTCTCTTCATCAACCAAATCGAGGAAATTAACACTTGCCTGCTACCAAGTGCTGCAGTGAGAGCTTTAGTACCTTGTAGAATTTCTCTCTGCACTCTCACTTTGGCCACTACATTTGCTTTTGTGTATTTTAGCTGCCAAAATACATTGACTTCAAAATCTTTAAGAATGAGCATAACCAAATGGTTGTACCATGCTGCTTATTGACAGGCATGCAAACAAACACATTTGAAAATACTTTTGTGCATGATAGTGCCATTTTGTACCAGATGAGTAATCAATGCAAAGTGGGTACAACATGCTACCAAATCAGAGGGGTGATGTTTTACGTGCAGTTCAGTATTGTTGCAAATGCTAGAGCCCTGCACAGATAAAAACTTAGTATCTGAATCCGTGTGTGCATCTGCAAAAACAATCCATGGATATCTGCATGTACATCAGCTGTGGCTATCGTCATCCATGGCCATGAATGTGAATACCTGTGGATCTAAAGCAGATATCCATAGATTTGCAGGGCTCTACAAATGACAACACAAGATGAAACAGAATCAGGCCTGAAGAATTCAGTCATCAGGGGGGCAAGATTTAGCAGTAAGTGGCTGGAAAAGTCTAAAGATTATAATCCTAATATTTCCCCTCTAAGAACTACAGAACCAATCCCCATGTTTTTAAATTTAACTATAGGAGGGGGGAGTGGTTTCACACTCATGATGTTGGAGTTAATTTTAGTAAATATATACTTTGAGCTATTCATCAGCGGAAACGTCTTTCATCAATAGAAAGGAGCCTTGAGATTTCATAAATCATATTAAAGTTTGTATGCAATTATACTAGACCTAAATACGCTTGTTATTATAGAAGAGTAGAGACTTTTTAAAAAAAATGCTGCAGAGTAAACTGATGTATGTAGCAACTTGGATATTAAAAGATTTTTTTTTGTCATTCTGCTCTTCTGAATATTCTCTCAGACTTTTATAGTAAGATCATTCAGGTGCAGTTTGGAGCCCAGATATGGATTTCAGTTAAATAAGTGTAGTTGAGGGAAAATTGCTTGTGTGTTTAGGCTATCTTTTATACTTTGTTGACAAAATGTATTGGCTTGCAAGTTGGGTTCTGAATGTATTCCCATGAAGGCTCAGGTACAATTTTTTTTATATATGTGTCACAAAGTTGGCTATATGGTAATTTATTTAATCTGTTCAGTGCTATATCAATATACTTGTCCTGCTTTGTTTTCAGACACATTAATCAGTTCATGCCAGTGATTCAAAATATTATCATGCCATGCTGAGATGGCATATTCTTTCGACAAGTGTTCATTGAGGCTCTCGTTGAGTGACTAGTGGATAAAATCCTCACATCTTGATTTAAATACTTTTAATCAATGTAATTAAACTGATGAACACAATGACAAGGAAATGAACCAATCAGAATGAAATCTTGTGTGATCAGCTTTTGTTCGCACTTTGGTACAGAAGTACCTTTAAAAGTAGCTTGGGCCAGTGCTCCCTGAACCTGTGGAGTCTGACAACTGAAAACTTAAAATCCTGCTAGCATGCCATTTTCCTTGCAAGAAGATTTGAGATGCCTTCAAGCTATTCTGAATGTGCCCACTTGATATGAGGGAAGACTGAAGACCTTAATATAAAAGGAAGTTTCTAGCTCAGTCCTTGAAAAGATAGCATTGGTAGCACATAATCCTATGCAAACTGACCAATCAGGTTGAAAACTTGTCACTGATCAAAGGTTAGTCACAGCTCCCTCCCAACCATCAGTCTTTTGAGATCTGGGAAGCCATCAGATCAAGTTCACAGCTGTTGGGGTCAGAACGTCCCAGGCTACTACAGATGATGCTGGAATAAGCTTCCTATCAGCTAATAGCCTGCAGCTGAGTCAGCTATTGCTTCGAACACTAGCATGACCTTTGGCTACCAAGAGTGGCCATGTGGTTTAGGGGCCTAAACAAGGGATAAACTTTTAAAAAGCACATAATGCCCAGATCCACAAAGGTATTCAGGTTTCTAACTTCCATTGAAATCAATGCATGTAGCTTTGCTGTAGCAGTGGGTCCCAGTATATTAGAGAGACAAGGCAGGTGAGGTAATGTCTTTGATTGGACCAACCACCTTGGGTGAGAGAGACAAGCTTACATGAACTTGAAGAGTTCTGTATTAACTTGAAAGCTTGTCTCACTCTCCCAAGGTAGTTGGTCCAATCAAAGACATTATCTCACCTGCCTTGCCTCTCCACTGAAATCAGTGGAAGTTAGGAGGTGCCAATGCTTTTTTGGGATCTGGGCCTAAATGACTGAAAATCCATGATCTTTCAATGCAATTTAGCTTCCTAGGTGCCTAAGTCACTTGAGAAAATTAGACTTAGGCTTCTAAGGGTAGGATTAATAAAGTGTCTAAATACCTTTATTACTTCCACCCCATATGTCATTTACTCAGCTTTGAGAATTTTAGAAGGGACTAATCCACAGACTCTCTTCTGTAGGCTTTTGCAAGCAATGGGCAGAAACTTTCAAAGCTAAGAACCTAAAATGAAGCACTTCAGTGCTTAATTATATACACTTAACACTTGACAAATATTGGCCGTAGTCTCTATTTTGAATTTCTATGGAGGGCAAGCCATACCCACCATTCAAAAGGGTTACACAATTAATTAGATAATATCTGTGAAATGTTTGACATCCTACAGTTCATTAGAATGCACATGAAACATTCTAGTGGCTGCACACCTAGGTGAGTTTTTCTCTTTCTGACTTTATTTAACAAATAGAAATTATACACTGCTTTAACACAAACAGCTGGACTTTACTCCCCCTGCAGGAGGCTGTTGGAAGAATGGGGGCAGACTGGCAAACAGGTGCTAAGGATTCTAGCATACACATTTTTTTAAAAAGAGATTTATTTTTTTTACTGTGGTAGAACCCATGACGGTGACATTTATTTAGACTCAGGCTATGTCTACACTATAGACATTTTTTGTGGAAGAGCAGGAGCGTTTCACGAGGAAGAAGGGCTCTTCTGAAAGAGGAGATTTTTCTGAAATGTAGTAGATGGGCCAAATTTCAGAAAAGCCTCTTCCAAAAAAACCATCAAAACAATTGAAAAAAGGTATACAAATTTCGGAGTGCAATTTGCATACTTTTTTCCAAAAAATAAGTGTAGTGTAGACATAGTCTCACTGTCTAAATATATGTCACAGTCCCACCCTCTGAGGAGCTCACAAGCCACAATGATAAGCAGCAAAGGATGGTCGAGAGGGATATAACATGACCTAAGAGTTCCTACAAATAACCTAATTTATCTCTAGGATAGAGTGTTTCACTTGGATGCTGTGGTATAGGAACAAGAATAAGCTTAATGCATGTGAGGTGAAATCTTGGCCCAATGAGCTTTTGCCACTGACTTCAATGGGGATGACACCAGTTGTTCTTCTAGGGGTTCCAGAGCTGGTGAACCAAAATGATGCACCTTCTTGTGGCTGCATGCCTTCAGTCGTGCTACAGTTATGGTTTTATTGTTTTGATGCGGGGTGCAATGCTTCTTAGGTGGATGTTACACACAGCTTTCATGGCCACATTTAAAAAAAAACCTGATGTGTTCAGACCAAAATCTAGCTCCCACTGAAACAGGGACTGACTATCCACATAATAGCCCATGGATGTGGCACTCACAGCCTATTTCAGAGAACTGTCCATGTAAGATTTCACTACTTTTTTATTTTTAGAAGAAAAGTTTTAAAAAGGCATTTTTTCTGTTCCTAAGCCAATATTTTCCATTAACCTAACATGAAAAAACCCCTCTCCCTATTATAGTGCATAATATATTTCTCATAAAGAATAATGTCCCAGTTGACTTTTCTAAGCCTAAGGACTAGAAAGAAAGCATTTATCTGAGGGCTCTCAAATCAGAAATTTGCTTCAATTGGAGGTCTGCCATTATAATCTTCTCTTATCCATGCAAATCAATGAGAACTTTTCTATTGACTTCTGCAAGTGCAGGATCAGTCTCCCAGTGAGCATCAGGGAGCTAGAAAGGGCATTTTTGTTTTAACCTCTGTTTGATTGGATACTGTATTTGGGTGAGGATTATTGTTTTAAAGTGTGTTGCCTTCCTTGAAAACAGTGTGGCTACTTGGTTGTCTGTAGAGAGCAGCAGCATCTCTTTAATGAAGCTCTTACTGGGTAATTACGTTTGATATTTTAAACAATAACAAATGCCTCACTGCTAAGACAATAGATACTCTGGAGCTGATGTGTCTTAAGAGTGTGCTAGTGAGGGAGGCTTCTTATGCTCCAGGTGAGAGGTGAATATATGCCAGGATTAGCCCTAATAATGTTATGCAGGAGATGGCAGTGACTTCAAAAATCTTAGCAGATCCCTTCAAAACAATAGTACCCAAAGATTTAGGTTCTTTCTCAGTGATGACTAGTTATATATCAAACTTGGACCTTTTCACCAAACAATTCTTACATTTTTGTAAATGGTGATAAAGAAATAAATGTGCATGGAGGGGGACTAATGTAAGAAAGCATTTATTTTCACTTTACCATAAATTAAAAAAGGATGTGTGGAGTATCTTAAACTTTATAAAAAATAAAATTGTCTATAGGCTGAGACCTAATATGCAAAAGAGAGTTTTTCAGAAAGTTAAGAGCACGTGAAAAAAATGTTTAAATAAAGAGTAGATAAAATGAAAGTCTAGGTATAAATAAAGAGTAAACATAGCTTTAGCTACAGTCTGTATTGTTATAACGTATCGTATTACATATAATATATGTTATATGTTATGTGTGCAATCATGTTTTTATGTTACCTTTAATGTACTGTTCCAGGCTGTTCAGTGTAGAGTTTTGGTTCAGCTCATTATATAGACAAGTTCCTTTTATAGCTGGCCACGGCTGTGAAGTTTGGACCCAGATTTGAATTCTCCCAATGGTTGATGAGTCTTCCAGTCTGAGGTTATGGTTTGGATCTTATATGTTGTATCACATTGTGACATTCACGTCTGCTTTTTCACCAACAGAAACACTGATATCTTGCTTTTTTGGATGGTTTCGGGGTTATCTCCACTTCTAAAGTTCATTATTCTTACACTCTGTATGACACAGCAGCAGCAGTTTGCAGGTGTCTATAGGTCAGCAATGCTCAAAGTGTAGTTTAAGGGTCAATGGTGACCCGCTAGTAGGTCAGAGAGAGCTGGCAAGTCACATGGTTCTGGCTCACCGTGTTGTTTCCTGTTATTCAGTTATGTTATAAGACACTACACACACATTAAATGTTTAACTAACATTACATTCCCATACAAACAATTGCTGTAGCTATCCCGAGAGATACTATATGATTATGAATGAGAGGGAGATATTTTGCAGTCACATATCAGAGAGGAGATGGTTCCAAGAGGCACTGTCCAGGATATGGTCTACGCTGTGAAAAAGTTTCAGAATCCCTGCCTAGAATGTTGTTATTAGCTATTATTCACTGTTGCATAGACTTTCTGACTAAATGTAGCGACAGAGGTACCTGCAGTCAAGGCTGGACAACTTTCCTGACCTGTTAATGGATAGCAAAGTATTTGATGACAGTTGCAAGAATCTGATGCACAGCAGTATCCTTTACAGCAGTATAATCTTTGTCATCAAATCCCCCAGCAGCCATGATTAATAGCTGGACTTGAACTCATTTTGAAAGTTGTATATTTGGCAGCTATGAACTTTGATCTGTGGTTGCCTTTAAAAAAATCATCATCCACACAAACTTCTCCCACAATCCTTTCATCTAATTAAGCCACACACCAATATTGTGTGGGGAAATCCGATGCTATTGATATTAGCTGTGTGTTTGTTACGATATCTAGGCACTTTCTTAAAGCAGATAGTTATTTCCAGCTAGATAGTAGATAAGCTCCCTAAAAACAATAATATCATCCAGAAAGAATATGTAGAAAAATTTCCCAAGGCCAAATTCTATTAGAAACTTACTTTGTTGATTTATGCTATGCCCTCGCTTTAAGGGCTCAGATGTTTTAACCTGAGCTAAAATTACCAGTGTTTAATGAATCCAGTCTAGTAGC